CCTAAAGTAACATGAAATATCAGTTTGTTACAAATTGCGACAGAATTGCGAGATTGATGCAAACTGTGTAATTTAGCACAAATGACCTCAATTAAGCTTTTCTTCAACCTGAATAATGTTTATCATGCATTGACAATCATCCAAGCTTTGATTTACTTGTGCATGTTGTTATCAACCCAGATCTGCTCAATAAGGCCATTTAAAGCTTCTCGCATCTTCTTAGGTCTAGCTCTCGTGACTGGACCTCTTGGAATATGTAATGGATCTCTTGACGTGATACATGTGGGGTCATCTTGATTCCCATCATTCCCTCTCTCCTCAAAAGGATTTGTCCTCAAATCATCACCTACATCAAAAGGAGAAAGATCAGAAACATTAAAAGTAGAACTAACATTATACTCACCAGGAAGCTCCAACTTGTATGCATTGTCGTTTATCCTTGCAATCACTTGAAATGGTCCATCGCCTCTTGGTTGCAAGTTAGAATACCTTTGTGCAGGGAATCGCTCCTTCCGCATATGCACCCAAACCCAATCTCCAGGTTCAAACACAACTTTCTTACACCCTTTGTTGGCCTGATTTGCATATTGCTCAGTTCGTCGCTCTTGCATCAAAACAGCGCCAATGCTAATACCTGATGCATCACATTCAATTTCAAAAGTTTTTGTAAAATCAGGTAAAGCAAATAATGGTGTAGAAATTAAATTTTCCTTAATCAAATTGAAAGCATTCTCCTGTCCACTTTCCCACTTAAATCCAACACTTTTTTTCACGATTTCAATCAATGGAGCTGCAATTGTGCTGAAGTCCTTGATGAATCTCCAGTAGAAACTCACCAAACCATGAAAACTCCACACCTTAGAAAAATTCTTAGGTGTTGGCCATTCTTTAGCCTTAATCTTTTCTTCATCTACCGCAATTCCATTAGCTGAAACAACATACCCTAAAAAAACAATCTGATTTGTGCAAAAGGAACACCTTTTAATGTTAGCAAACAAGTTTTCTTTTCTCAAAGTCTCTAATACCATTCGCAGATGCTCAATATGATCAGTTAAACTCTTACTATATATCAAAATGTCATCAAAATAAACAACCACAAATTTGCCAATGAAAGCACGCAAAACATGATTCATTAATCGCATGAATGTACTAGGTGCATTAGTTAATCCAAATGGCATAACTAACCACTCATATAAACCATGTTTCATTTTAAAGGCTGATTTCCATTCATCACCTTCTTTCATCCTAATCTGATGATATCCACTCTTTAAATCAATTTTAGAGAATATGCAAGAACCATGCAACTCATCTAACATGTCATCTAATCTAGGAATAGGGTGACAATACTTTACAGTGATTTTGTTGACCGCGCGACAAT